AGTATAAGTATAAGTATAAGTATAAGTATAAGTATAAGTATAAGTATAAGTATATAGTTAATCTTAACCCCCCACAATCTTAACAGGGTATTCAAACTATGTTAAACAAACTTGCAAACATAATCGTCCTTTGAGGAGGGGGAGGGGAGGGAAGTGCACAATGAACATATGCATACGAAAATTCCTGCATTATAACATTCCCAGCATGGGTACAACGATGTCTTTAAGGTTGCCACCCATCTGCGTATACGTGACATCTATGTAACAATGTCGTTACCAGAAGGCTTCCATGCATATTTGAGTAACGTTTGGCTGAACTCAATCGCTTCAGCTTCCACAATAACTGCGCATTCATATATGCATTACACAGACGATATACGATGTATGTATGTAGACATATAGACATATGTGTACATTAGGCATAATTAGTTGTACGGCTAATGATTTGTAGATTTACAAGTGCACTTTGCCTGTTCATCTACATATGTATGAATACATATGAATATGTATATGTGTGGCGTATAATATTTAGTCATGGGCGATAAGTACTGCGCGTATGACTAAAGCGCTAAAATATTAATAGATCGAAATGGAAGCGGACCTTGAACGCTGATTGTTTTCATTTATGTCCAAACAGTAGAACATGTGTAAAATTTGCCGCGAGACTACAGCAACAACAACAACAACAACAACAGCAACAACAGCAAAAGCTATTTGCATCAGTCTGCCTATAAAAGATTTACGATTCTCTCTATGAAAATATATATGTATATGTATATTTAATTATTTTAAAATGTCTGCTTAAATGATATTTTGCTTAGCTGACTGTACTAATTTGTAATGATTATAAAACCACATTTCTACATAAAATAAGATAGTCTAAAAATATAAACCTATATATATATATATATAAGTATAACTGTGAGTATATATATAGAAGTATAAGTGTGGAGTATAAGTTAAAGTGCAAGTATAGTCTTATATGTATAAGTATAAGCCTTAAGGGAAGTGTGAAGTATAAGTTAAAATGCAAGTATAATCTAATATGTATAAGTATAAGCCTTAAGGGAAGTGTGGCTATAAGCTATACCATTAAGTGGATGTCTAAATTATGAGTATAAGTACAACATTTGAATAAGCTTTTGGTTGGACCGAGGGTCAAAAATACTATTTAACATGAACCTTAGCTGAAAGACCGCTAAAACCTCTGAACATCAACAAATATTACTCAACACGAACTCTACCAAAGGGATAAGAATATTAGAAACTAAGAGCTTTAGTATTTTCTAATGGTAATACACACATATCTATATGTATCATATATATATATATATATATCTATATATACATATCTATTGAGTAAAGTTTGACTAACGTCTCAAGTGCTAAATGCCATGAACTTTACCAACAAGCTATCAGAACTTAATAGAAATATACATAAATATATTTAAATAGTACTGCGGTACACCTAGGCTTCGATACAAACAATTTTATTATTATCTATCTCACACGATACGTTTAATCGATAAACATTATTCATCGATAAATTGCATTTTAAGGTAAATGTAAGCTGGTAGAGGCAGAGTGGCCTTATATATATATATGAATATGCATCCATATATATACTATATATATATATAGTTTTCACCCTCTATTAATCTTCTAGGGCAAACCGATTGCAGCTAGAATCGGAAATGGAACAGCTGTTGACATTGGCCCCGTCAAGGGATAGAACGCCATCGTCTGCTTCTTCTGCCAACGCCAACGGCATTGACATTGGGTTTCAAATTATGATATCTCAGTTAGTCAAGGCCCAAGGGCCCACTCTTGCATTTAATAGAGTTCGCAATTTTGCTTTGAGCGTCGCAATTAATGGCAATTACATGGATTTGAATGCTTCCATATATATGTGTATGGTACATATATATATATATATATATCGACCATATACCACCATGCACCGTTGGCCATTTGGTGAATGAATAATTCAGTCGTGGCTATGGCGAATGCATATTATAAATAATAATTCCAGTCACGGTTATTGGCAAAATAATTAAATGTGTCCCGGTCGATGATTAAATAGAGCAAAAACCAACCAACCTCATGGCCTCAACATCGTAAATCATACTTAAACTATACCAATATATATATATGTATATATATATATAGCATATGAACATATATATTATATAGATCACTTTTCGATTATATTAGCTGTCCTCTGATAAGATAAATTTCTGCATGCAATTTCATTGTTATCTATCTAGGGCTGAGAAGCCAATGAACCCAATAATCTGGCCGCAATAAACCCAAAAGAACTATCATAATATACGAGCAAATTAGTCAAATAATATATAATATTATAGCGTAATTGTGGCAGATTAGTTCAAATATTAAAATAGATAACATTTCCCATATTTATTGTTATCGATTGCTGATATCGAACTTAATCAAATATAATGCCAAGCTTTCACGGGAATTCACAATGTTTGCTAGTTTAGGTTTTTGATTGGAAGAGCAGACGGTGTGGGTATTTCCTGGACAATAGTAAAATATTTTATGCAGTTTTATCCAAAAAATTACATGAAAATTTCGATATGCAAAGTTGCTCATCGAATCCATATTGACTCATAGAACTAGCCCAGTTCTTAGTTACAACGTTTAAGCTCACATGATTTGATCTTAACTTATATTTTCCTTTTAATGTTTTATAATCCTTAATTTTAACGACTGAAATATCTCTGCTCTTTATTGAAATAATAACATTATTCCACAGAGAATTATTCTCGCTTTGGCTCTACATTTTTCAGACTCTTGAATCACAAAAGGAGAAATATTTTTGCCTCTTCCTTTCAATGATTTCAAAGTCAAGATGTAAACTTTCATTTGAAATCAGATTTTATAGAAATTTTATAGAAATTTACTTCTTTTTTTTTTTTAAATAAAATTCGAAATTATGATAACAATTGTGGAGGACATCTTTGGCATTGCGACCAATCCATTTACTGAGCAGGCTCAGGTGGTGCGACGCTATACGATTAGCAACTCGAACCATTTGTCCGTGCGGATCATCCAATTGGGCGCTACCATCCAGAGCATCACCTGTTATGATGCCTATCGTCAAATGGATGATATTGTATTGGGATTCGATGACATTGCCGGCTATGAGGCGCACCGAAGTAGACGCTTCGGCTGCATGCTGGGACGTGTCGCCGACTGGGTGGCCAATGGTGAATTCATGATGGACAGACGCAAGGTGCGGGTCACAAAAAATTGGAACAATCAGCATCAGATCGATGGCGGCTTCATTGGGTTCGATCGCATCATTTGGGACCTGCACAAAATACTGCCCGACGGCATTACGCTCTGCCATGAGTCCGCCAACGGGCACGAGGGCTATCCGGGCAATCTGATGGTGCTGCTCCATTTCACCATGGACGATGACAATCGATTGTTTATGCGCATCGAGGCGCGCACCGACAAGACGACGCCCGTCAATATCAGCAATCACTGCTACTTCAATTTGGCCGGACAGAAGGCCGGACGTAAGGGCATACTGGAGCATCGTCTGGTAATTGCCGCCAACGATACTATCGAAACGAATGAGAAGAATATGCCGACGGGTCGATTTAATGGAGTCAGCGACACCGTCTACGATATGCGTGTGCCGGCCTTCATTGGGGACCGTTTGCGTCAGTTCGAGAACAAAAAGTTGCCCGGTTTCGATGTGTGCTATGCCATCGATAAGGATTTCGATTCGCATATATTGCATTTTGTTGGACGTTTTCTGCATCCCGAATCGGGCCGCTACATGGAAATCCATAGCAATCAGCCGGGCATGCGATTTGAGACGGGCAACGATTTTCCGGACGACACCAGGGACGAGGAACCGATTATGGGCAAAAGGTGTGCCCGATACTATAAGCATTCCGGCTTTAGTGTGCAACTGCAAAAGTTTCCCGATACCATGAACAATCTGGACTTTCCCACCGCCTTCATAATGCCGAGCGAACTGTACTTTCATGAGACCATCTTTAGGTTCGGCATTCAGGAATCGTGGAAATGTTGCGCCACGCCCGAAGAGCTCGACAAAATCGGAGCTGATATCGTGCGTTATACGTAGCTGTCCGACCGATAATTCCCTATTGTTGTTTATTCTCGT